AAAATTTTTAAGAAAATAAGAAATATTGCTACTGTATTATTTCACAGTCAAATAAAATAATTAGTATTAAATAATAATAATTTTATTTTACAGAAAAATTACAATACTAATATACTATAATTTCTTTGTTTTTAAATGAGCCTAATTTCTTCTTAATTTTTTCATTGTAATTTTTCATCAAGCCGCCTGAGACACTATGAGCTGCAAGCGTGTAAAAACACTCTGAAAAATGCAGCGTATAAATGTATTTAATAAAATCACAGCACTTGCCCAATTGCCCAATAATTGGTTTTATTTCACTTAACCATGCAGCCTTAGTCTTTGGTTTGCAATGAACTTCAAAAAAAAAAATGCAGTTTTTTTTTATTTTTATAAGGAATATTATATGTAGATTAATTCTGAGTGTCTGTTTCTTTGGTCTTGTTGGTTTCGAGCCAGTCACGCACCGGGAAGCGTCAGAGCACCGGAGGTCAGGAGCTCCTGGTTGATGAGTGAGAGCAGCGCTGGAGCACAGACAGCAGGGGGCGCCGCGGACGGGCCAGGAGACACCGCTGCTCTGCTGGGGGGTTTAGGAGGATCAAACTCATCAGCGCTGTTACTGTTCCTCCTGGGGCTCGAGTGCAGACCCTCATCAGAGAGACCTGAACACACAAACACAGATCTGAGCATCACAGCTCATTATCACAAAGACTTCATGATGATGATATGTGACCCTGGAGCACAAAACCAGTCTTAAGTGTCAGTTTTGTGAAATTGAGATTGATACAGATACAGTAAATAAGCTTTCCATTGATGTACGGTTTGTTAGGATCGGACAATATTTGGCCGAGATACAACTATTTTAAAATCTGAAATCTGAGGGTGCAAAAAAATCTAAATATTGAGAAAATCATCTTTAAAGTTGTCCAAATTAAGCTCTTAGCAATGCATATTACTAATCTAAAATTAAGTTTTGATATATTTACGGTAGGAAATTTATAGAATATCTTCATGGAACATGATCTTTACTTAATATCCTAATGAGTTTTGGCATAAAAGAAAAATCTATAATTTTGACCCATACAATGTATTGTTGGCTATTGCTACAAATATACCCCAGCGACTTAAGACTGCTTTTGTGCTCCAGGCTCACAGGCACATTTTAGTTTCCTAAAGATCGTGTCAGACCAGTTTCATGATTCTTCCTTGTCTTGTGTCTTGAGAGCGTTTAGAGATGTTTTAACAGCATCTCGCAGCTGGTCAGTTTGATTCGTTTATGTGAATCATTTCAAATGCATTCATTCTGTGATTTAAAGTGGCAGCACTCAAAATCATAACTACATTTATTTGGCAGATGTATTCAGAACGTAAAATGCAAATGATGGCATGTTTAATATGTTTAAAACAAATAAAACAAACATTTAAATGGCAGAGATGCAAACAATCAGTTCATTTGACTGTAAAATCAAACACACGTTTCATAATCTGAACTGAACTACACTATACTGTTCAAAGCGTTTGGGTCAGTAACTTTTTATTTTTAAAGAAAGTAATACTTTTATTCATTAAGGATGCATTAGACGGATCAAAAGTGACATTTATAATGTTACAAATGATTTCGATTTCAAATAAATGCTTTTCTTTTGAACTTTCTATTCATATGTGAATCCTGAAAAAAATAACACAAATATATGATGCAGCACAACTGTGTTCAACATTGATAATAATCAGAAATGTTTCTCGAGCAGCAAATCAGCATATTAGAATTATTTCTGAAGATCATGTGACACTGAAGACTGGAGTAATGATGCTGGAAATACAGCTGCGCATCACAGAAATAAATTACAGTTTAACAGATATTCACATAGAAAACAGCTATTTTAGATAATAATAATATTTCATATTTTTATTGTATTTTTAATCAAATAAATGAGTGAGCAGAAGAGACTTCTTTCAAAAACGCTTACTGGTTCCAAACCTTGGAATAGTAGTGTATATAGTGCATATACTAAACAGACTGTCTGGAGGGAAGGAAGATTGGGTTCAGGTGTGACAAAAACTACACGGTGAGTCAATGTTGAGTCACAATGGAGACCAGGTGTGTGAGGCACACACACACACACACACACACACACACACACACACACACACACACACACACACAGAGCTGAGTTTCTGGGCCCTCGGGCTCTGATTTGAGGAATGCTGAGGCTGACATTCCCAGCTGAAGCAGATGTTTGTGAACTTTCTCCTGAATCCAAACCCTCAGGCTGTTTCTTCCAAACCCAGCAACCCAAACAATACATACAACACAACTCGTTCTCCTCCTCCTGAGAGGAAAGACTGCGGCTAAAGAGAGGAGTTCAACAACTCTAACAAACACTACATTTAACTACCTTCCTTCAAGAATAAATTGTCCAAATAACACATTTAAAATGGGACAAATATTTTTCAGAGTAACTAAACACCACTACTACACTGTGCTGGAACTGTTATAATATTTTAACATTTTATGGCACTGAGGAAGAACATATGAATATCAACCAATAAAAGAAAGATCACACAAATAATACATTTAAAATAAATTAATTAATTAAATACATTTAAAATAAAATAGAATTAAATAAAAAATAAAATCAGTTCATTTGCATGAATCACCTGAATAAATTGATTCACTTAAAATAAATAAAATAAAATAAAATAAAATGCTGCAAACATCTAATTGAATGATTTTCAGTTAAGGTGGATTTGTTAAACTTTACCAGATTTAATTATACTTACTGCAATTAAACATTTTTTAATAATTAATAAACTCACCTGGAAACATGCAGAATTTAATTAAATATGCTATAAAGTATGTTGCTTGTTAATTTACATTAATTATTTGAATGAACTGATTCACTAGAACAAATTAGAATTTCCAGTTCTATAAAAATGTTGCAAACAGACTTTTTTTGATCAGTTCATGTACACGAATCATCTGAATGAACTGATTCACTAGAACAAATCAGAATTTCCAATGCCACATATGTGTTTCTTATCAGTTTGCAATAAAAATGTTGCAAACAGACTTTTTTTGATCAGTTCATGTACACGAATCATCTGAATGAATTGATTCACTGGAATGATTCAGAATTTCCAATGCTATAAAATGTCGCAAATAGACTTTTTTTTTTATCAGTTCATTTACACAAATCATCTGAATTAATTGATTCACAGAAATAATTCAGAATTTCCAATGCTATAAAATGGTGCAAACAAACTTTTTTGGATCAGTCCATGTACACAAATCATCTGAATGAATTGATAGACTTGAATGATTCAGAATTTCCAATGCTATAAAATGTCACAAACAGACTTTTTTTGAATCAGTTCATTTACATGAATCATCTGAATGAACTGAATCACTAGAACAAATCAGAATTTCCAATGCCACATATGTGTTTCTTATCAGTTTGCGGGGGTTGTAAAGCTGTACATGACTACTAGTTGGAAAACATAGGTTATTACTGCAGATAAAAGCAAGTTAATAGTATCGCTGCTTTAAGTTAGTCACTAACCAACACTTTTCAAAAAGCAGCCTGACAATATTTGGTTGACTTTGCATACGTCTCTGAGAGCGAGTCCGAGCTCTGGGGTATCATGGGAACCAGTTCATATCACAAGGGACCACATGCAATCACAAAGGCCAAGCAAAACCACATCAGCCGTAATCTGATCCAGCCTCAAAGTCATTGGCATTTGTTTTCTGAGCAAAGTCTGACTGACCCCTGCTTCGCTCGGGCTCTGTAACAGGACAGATATTACGTGGAGATGGGCTTTACTCTTTAAGCCTCTCTTCAGCATCCTCACCGGCCCAACGGGACACAATGGTCCCCATTATGACGGAGGCAAACCATCTGGATGGGAGCTTAACAGCGCTGTGTGTCGAGCAGGTAAGCGGCGCAGAGATCCTCCCTCAGGTGGGTCATCGGATCCGCTGTGGCTTCCTGCCCAGACTCAATGGCTCTGATTTTCATGTGTGGGAAAGAAAGCCAGAGAACAGAGGGACTCTGCAGAATCCCAGATGGGAATTTACCTAAACCACTGTGTGTGTGTATGTGTATGTGTGTGTGTGTGTGCGTGTGCGTGTGTGTATGTGTGTGTTAGTGTTGTCAAAAGACCCAGTATTTCGGTACCAAATCGGTACTAAAAAAATGAAAACGTTACGGTACCAGGTTTTTTTAAGTACCGGTGGTACCGAGTACCCGGTCAACCC